CGGGCAGCCCTCGGCCCCGGCGCTGGGAGAGCGGCCCCGACCCCCTGGAAATGCCCTTTGTGACGGACTGGGCACGGTGTTTTAGAAGATGAGGGTTAGGGGGGTCTCCCTCTGAATTTCTGGGTCCCTGACCTGGTGCTGCCCCATCTCTTGCGCCCCTTCCCACTGCCGGTGCCTCTGAGGGGAACGGGCTCCTCAAGTGCGGGGATCCCCGGAAAGAAATATTTTATATTTTGTCTGGAAGAAAAAAACAATGGAGCGCCAGGTTCTTATAAATACCAAATACAAGGTTAGGGGAGGGGAAGTTTGCTCGGTATCAATGAGCCACCGAAGCATCTCAAAACACAAAATAAATGGTAATATTCACGTATGCTTGGAAACGTTAATTTTCACACGTTAGTATTTCCACACGGCTGAAAACGAAGGCTGAAGCGTTGTCCCCGCTGCTCCCACCCATTCGGCGTGCGGCGCTAGCCAGGCTGTCATTTTAGCACCAGGAATGTGCTGGATCCAGCTCGCTGTGCCACTGCCCTCCTTCCGCCCGGCACACGGAGCCAGCACAGCACAGCGCACAGACCCGGGGATCTCCTCGTGCCGAGAGGAGGCTCGGACAGCCCCGGGGCCGCCCCGCTCCCGGCGCCTGCTGGAACCATGCCTTATCTCGGGTTTAAGGGCTCAACCTGACCCTGAGCCATTTTTAACCCGAGGTGGGAAGAGCCCTCCCTGGGTGTCTCTCTCTCTGCTCTGAAAAATCCTTCAGCGGCTCCACGGTCGCCGATTTCCTGGTGCTTTTCCTTTTGTAGCTCCGCCACCTGAAGCAGACCCGCTTTCTCAGGGTTTGATGCTCTGCTGCTTGAAGATGCTTTAACTCTCAGGACTTAGAAATAACTCCTGGAGCAGAGCCCCAGCAAGAAGGCGTCTAATCTGATATATTCCATTTCCATATTTTGCGCTGCAAGCAGCAATTTGTGGTTCAGCAGCAGCGGCTGAGCAGGGACGAGCATTATCACAGGAATGAATTCCTTCCATCTCATGCCTGAGTATGTGACAAATAAGTCTCGGCCGTGGCATTGTCTCTCTGCTCCCAGGCTGTCAAATTGAACTCCGCTTTCTTTCCTGCTGCCTTTGCCCCGTGCCTCCCCCCTCGCCACCCGCGTCCCCGTGGCTGGGAATGGCCGCTGGTGCCACGTCCCAAGCGCTGGGAGATCAGGACGCGGGGCTGGGGGGCTCTCGGGTGCGGGACCGGCAGCCCCCCGTGCCCGTGGGCCAACAGCGGCCAGCCGGGGGCTCAGCACAGCCCGCTGCGAGCTGGGGTTCCCCAGGGGCGGGGATCGTGCGTGGGGGCGCTGGGACCCCGCGGGGGGCTCGGCCACAGGAGGGGCTGCGAGGAGCGGGGGCTTTGCGGGGAACCGGCCCGGGAGCCGCTCGGGGCGGGGCTGGGGGGCTCAGCCACCCCCGGGGGTCCCGGGACCCTCCCCCGCCGGGGCAGGGCGGGCTCTCAGAGGGCTCCCGAGGCGTCCCCGGTTCCCCGCTCCCGGAGAGGAGCCAGGGCAGGAGGAGCCGAGGAGCCGGGGCCGAGGCTGCCCGGGGAACGGGGACGCCCCAGCACCCGGTTTGCGTTCAGGGGGGCGCGTTCAGCACCGCCCGGGGAGCTCCAGCAAAGCTCCGCGGCGGGCACCGCGTGTAGCGCCGTTCTCTCGGTGCCAGCGGGAGCTGTGGCCACCCGGACAGGGACAGGGACAGGGAGAGGCAAAGGGACAAGGACAGGGACAGCACAGGGACAGGGACAGGGAGAGGCACAGGGACAGGGACAGGGACAGGGACAGGGACAGGGAGAGGCACTCGGACAGGGACAGGCACTCGGAGAGGGACAGGAGCAGGGACAGGGACAGCACTGGGACAGGGACAGGGACAGGGACAGGCACTCGGACAGGGACAGGGAGAGGGACAGGGAGAGGCACAGGGAGAGGGACAGGGACAGGGACAGGGACAGGGACAGGCACAGGGACAGGCACTCGGACACGGACAGACACAGGGGCGGCACCCCCGCCGGTGAGGGCTCCCCGCGGGCGCGGGCGAGCGGAGGCGGAGCGGCGCTGTCGGTGTGTGGCACTGGTGAGCCCGCTTTCGCGTGGAACAGCCTCCGGTAGCTGAGAGAGACAGTGAAATATTGGAGAGGAGTCGGGCAGAGACGCAGGGATGGCGGGGGGCGCGGGGAGCCCGGGGGGAGCCGCGGGGGTGCCCGGCCTCCCGAGGGGAAGGGGAAGGACATCTGGATCGGCCCGGAAAGTTCTCCCAGGGAAGAAATTCAGGGGCTCGGCTGGGCTTTAATCCAGTAAATGCAGACATGGCAGGATCCAGCGGCTGAGTCCGCACCAGCAGGAGCTGGAGCTGGAATGCGGTGCCATTTTCACCGCGTCAGAAAAAAACCCATCCAGGTGGGAGGGCAGAACCCGGTTAGCCTGGCACGGCCGGGAGAGCATTCCTGGATCCAGCCCCAGGTTGCTGCGGCAAAAGCCGAACAGAGAGGGGGTGATCCAGAGCCTGTGGGACAGGGGCGGGCAGTGGGGGGCTGCGGTGGCCCCCCAGTCGTAAGCCCCGATATTTTATGCACCTCATGGTCCGCCGTGCCCAACTGGGTTGTGCCTTTATCAGCGGCTGTCACAAGGTGAATAATGCCTTCTCTCCGGGGCGCTGCCCGCACATCACCGCACACGGGAGGGGAGAGGCGGCTGTGGAGCGGGGCTCCCCTCCCGGGGGGCTCCCACGAGCGGCCGCGGTGCTGCCGTTCCGAGTGTCTGACGGGGAAAAGGAGCCGAGGTGGGACCCCCACCCTGCCCGGGGCCCCGCAGCGCTGTTTGCTGCTGGACCGTGCACAGGGGACAGCGGGGACGGGGAGGAGGAGATGGGGACACAGAGACCCTGGGGGCCCGGAGGACAGGCAGGGAGGAGGGAGAATCTCCCGGGAGAAGCTGGAACGGAGCAGGGCAGGGACCAGGGATCCGCCCCGGTGGGTGCAGCACCGGGGGCTTCGCAACTGCCGGCGTCGAGGGGAGACGCAGAGAGAAGCCGGGGTGCTGGAGGGGGTCCCAGAGTGGCTGCTGGGGGCGTCCTCCGGCATTCAGGATGAGGGGCCCTGCGAGCCCCCCGACACAGGGCGATGCCGGGGACACAAGCCGGCCGCGTCCCGCCGCGGGAGGAAACGTCCCGCGGTCCCGGCAGGGGCGGGAGGAAAACGAAACGGGGCCGAGGAAGCGGGGGAGAGCGGCAGCCCGGCGCGCCTGGGGCAGGGCGCGGCCCGAGCGGGCGGGGGATGGCCGGACCGGTTCGGCCCAGCCCGGGCGGGGCTTCCATCCGCATTGCCGCAGTGACGGGCGGCGGAGCGCGGCCGGGCCGGCGGGCTCGGCGCGGCGCTGCATTGCAGCACTGCGGGAGCCCCCTCCTTCCCCGCTCCTTCTCCGCCCTCCGCCGCCGCTCGGCTCCGGAGGCCCAGCCCGGGGCACGCACCGGCCCCGCCGCGCTCCGCTCCCACTCGCGCGGGGCATCCGCGGCCGCCGCGCCGGGGTCCCCCGGTAGTGCCGCATCCCGAGCCGGGAGTGCAGCCGTGGGACGGGGCCGTGCACCCACCCGCGGGGTTCCGTGCTTGGTGTCAAGCCGGCGCCCATCAGCCCCGCGCGGGTGGAGGGACCGGCCGCCCCCGTCGGGGCATTGCTGTCCCGCCCGCCCGTCCCGCGCCGCCAGCGCTGTCCCGCGGTTCGTCCCGTCACCTCCCTCCGTTCCCCTGCCACCCTCCCCGGCGGTCCGGCCATGCCGTGAGCCCCGACGGGGTGCCCGAGCTCGCGTGGGCCAGCCACTGTCCCCACGGGTCTCCCACGAGGGAGCCCGGGCTGGTCCCGCGGGGAGCCGGGACCGCCACCGGGACCGGGCAGGGCTGCAGGGCGCTGTGCCGGGCGGCACGGCCCCGGGACGGGCCCTCCGCGATGGGACATCCCTGGGGTGTCAGGGCACTGCCGCTGCCCATGAGGGGGGCGGAAGGCGGTGACCAGCCCCGCGTCCCCGCTCCGTCGGGAAGGGAAGCCGGGAAGGGCATCCATCCTCCTCCTGGGCCGGGGCCCGGGACTCGGTGCCAGCCCCGTGTGACAGGGTCCGGCATGGCCCCGGGCAGTCGCGACCCTCGGTGCCGCGGGCGCGAAGGGCAGCGGGGCGATCCCGGCGGGAAGGTGCCGGCGGTGGCCGCGCGTCCCGGGACCGGCCCCGCCGCCAGGTGCGGCGCGGCGGGGGTGGGACGGAACGGGGACACGGGTGGCGGGGGGCGTCCGCCCCGGCACAACGGGGGCCCGTTCCCGAGGCTCTCGCTCTGTGTCTGCTTTGGGAAAACGCCAGCACGGTAACAAAATGGCGGGGAAAGGGTGGGATTGTCACGGCGAGCCCTGCGGCGGAGCCCGGCCACCCCCGGCCCCGCCCCGCCGGCCTCGGGCGCCCGTCCCGGCGGAGGGCAGCGGGGCGGGGGTCCCCGGGGCCGCGCCGCCGCCCGGTGCCGCCGCCCGGCTGAGCTCCGCTGGAGAAGCAGCTGCAGAAAATGGCTGCTCGGCGGAGCCCGCTGAATCCTGCCATGGCGGGGGGGACGGCGAGGAAGCGGCGCAGCCGTCGCCCCCCCCCGGGAGCCCCGGGCAGGCGGCGCGGGGCACGGGCGGGGGTTCCGCTGGGCGGCGGCACCGGAGCAGAGCCCGCCGTGCCCGGTGCGCGGCCTCACCTGCGGCGCGCTGGGGCACCGGGGCAGCCCCCCCGAGCGCGCCCGGCCCGCACCGCCGTGCACGTGCCCGCAGCCCCCGCCCGGTGCCCGCCGAAGCGGCGGCGACTCCGAGCCCCGGGGGGCGCGGCGGAAGGGCGGCCGGGCATCGCCCGCAGCCCGACACGCCGCAGCGGCACCGGCCCCGAAGCCGCTCTCGCAGCGCCCGGTTTTGCTTTCGGTTTAAAATAAAATAAAAATAAAATATAAATTAAACAGAGGAATATAATCGGGGCGCGGGCACGCGGTACCGTGCGGCCACGACTTGGCCACGCATCGGCTCCGCGGCGAAGCCGCAACGAAAACTCGAGCCGGTGTCGCCGCGCCGTGTCGCCGCCCCCCGCCCGGCACGGCGGCGGCTCCGCGCAGCCTGCCCGCGGGGCGAGAGCGGACACGCGTGGGTGCGCGGCTGTCGCCGGCGCTGCCGGAGTTCCCTCCCCGCCGGAGCTTTTCGCGGGTGTCTGCGAGGAGAGGGGATGTCCCGAAAGCGGGATCGTGGGGGCCGAGATGGGGGAGCCCTTTCCCCACCGGAGAGCGGGAGAAGCTTCCCCCGCGGCCGGTCCGCACCGTGGCGAGGGGACACCGAGGGCGCTTTGCCGCCGTGGGGGCGCATCACGGGTGGCGCCCGCGAGCGCGGAACCGCGTCCGCGCCGCGCGCGGTGCGAAGGGCGCCGCTGCCTTCTGTGAATGCTTTGCCCAGCGTCGTCCCCCCGGCCGCCCTCGTCCGCAAAGTGCTCCGATTCCTGTGCCTCAGATCGGGGTCACCCCAGCCCGTGCAGCGCCGGGGCTCGTTCCCCCCTTGCCCACGCACGGTCCCGCTCCGCGGAGCAACGGGACCGCCCCGTCCCGCCGGCTCTCTCAGCCCGCGGCCCCTCCGAGTGCTCTGCCGCCAGTGGGGCAGGCACGGCCGGCTTCCTCCGTGCCCCGCGTTGCGGAGACAGAGGAGCGGTGGTCCCGCCGCACTTCGGGAGAGCCGTGGGCTCCCAAGTGCCCTCGGTGTCCACGGGAGAGCCGTGGCGAGATGGCGGGTGGGGAGTCCCGGCTCGGGAAGGAGCGGCGAGGCGGCAGCGGCACCGGGCGGGTGGGGGTCTCACGGTCGGGGGGTCCCGCCGGGAGTGTCCCGTGGGACCGGGGGGTTCCCGTGGGGTCGGGGTTTTCCCGTGGGACCGGGGTGTTCCCGTGGGGTCGGGGTGTTCCCGTGGGACCGGGGTGTTCCCATGGGGTCGGGGTGTTCCCATGGGGTCGGGTTTTCCCGTGGGACCGGGGTGTTCCCGTGGGGTCGGGTTTTCCCGTGGGGTCGGGTTTTCCCGTGGGGTCGGGGTGTTCCCGTGGGGTCGGGGTGTTCCCGTGGGACCGGGGTGTTCCCATGGGGCCGGGGTGTTCCCGTGGGACCGGGGTGTTCCCGTGGGGTCGGGTTTTCCCGTGGGGTCGGGTTTTCCCGTGGGGTCGGGGTGTTCCCGTGGGGTCGGGGCGTTCCCGCTCGGTGCCCGCGGGGGTCCCGGCCGGGGCGGGGGGGGCGCGGGGCCGCTGCCCCCCCCGCGCCGTTGCTGCGATACGGGCGGGCCAATCAGCGCTCACCAGCTCACCCGGGCCCCGGCACCGCTTCCTTATATGGTGCGCGCCGTCCGCGGGGCGCCGCGCGCATCACCATATAAGGGCATGATCCTAAATACAGCACCTACCTTGGGTCGGGGGGCGGGGCCGGGGGCGGGGCCTGGGCGCGGGCGGGACCGGACCGCGCCCCCCGCCCCACCGGGCCCGGGCCCGCCGCTGCCGCCGGACCCCGCCCGCCCCGCGGAAACCACCGCCGGTCATTAAGCGGAATGCAAATGAGCAGCGCTTCACCTCTAATTGCTTTTGTTAAAAGCGGAGTCGCGGGGCTGCGCGCGAGCGGGCGACGGCGGTGGGAACGGGCGGGGACGGAGCCGGGACAGAGCTGGACTGGGTGAAGGACGGGGGTAGCGGCAGCCCCGGGCGGCTCGATTCGCACTTCGTCTCATTTGTCACATCCCAGCCCGGTTCACCGCGCGGCGGGGCCGTGGCCACCGGAGCCGCCGGGCCGCGCTTCGCGTTCTGTCCCGCCCTGGCGGGGCCCTCGCGTGGCCGCTGCCCCCCCGTGACACTCCCTTGGCCGCTGCAGGGCCGGATCCGTTCCGTCCTTGTGCCGTCCTTGCGCCGTCAGCAGCCGGCGGCACGGAGACGCGCCGACCAGACGGGGTGCGGGAATACCCCGGAACATTCCCGTTTCCTCGCCCCACACCCTATTCGAGTCGGTTCCTCCGTCTCCCCATCCGCAAACAGCTCGTGTTTATGTTCCTACCAATAATGAGCAAATTCAGAACCCCCGGGAACAAAAGATCTTTTGTGCGGAGCGCTCGGGGCCTGGAGCGGGCGATAAACGACGCCCCCCGGCCCGCCGCCCCCGGGAGCGGCGCTTTCCCCGCCCGGGCGGTTCGAGGGGACCCGCGGAACCGCCGCGCCGGGGGTGCCGAGGGGCTCCGGTATGTGCCGGCACGCCCGGAGAACCGGGAGCGGGCGCTTTGCCGTCGGGGCGCTCCGTGGGCGCTCCCCGCAGGGAACGGCGCGGGGGTTCCGCCGTTCGGTCTGGCCGGAGCGGGGCTCAGGGCACGCCGCCCCAAGAACCGGTGGCTGCGGGACTCGCGTGGGCTCTCCCACGAGCTCGGCCGATGCGGGAGGATCCCCACCGTTCGTGGGTCTGTGCTCCAGGAAAGAACGGCGCCTTCTCTCCGCCGCGGGCACCGCAGAGGGAGAAAGCCCCGCGCTTCGCCCGGGGCTTGGCACAGCTCCCGGGGCTCCTGCGGGCGCTCCGCCCCGCCGAACCGGCGGTGCGGGGGGGCGGCCCGGGCGGAGGCGGCGGCAGTGCCCCCCTGGGGTGGCAGCAACGCCGCCGGTTGCGCGGAGGCCGCAGCCGCCATTTCCAGGAGGACGGTGCCACCTATGGAAAGCACCTGGAATTCACCGGGCCGGCGGGGACGCGCCGGGAAATGAATGCAGCGCTTCCGAGCGGCATCGTCGGGACGAGGCCGGGCGGCGCCCGCCGCCTCCCGGGCGGGACCGAGGAGCATCAGAGGGGTTTGGCCGCCACCGTCCTCGGTACCGACTGCCCCGAGGAGGATGTGCGGCTCGGTCCCGGGGCGGCGGCGGGACCCGAGCGGGACGGGCGCTGAGCTGCATCTCCTCGGGGCGGTCGTTTGGCTGACCGGCCGAAGCCTCCGTAACCGGGCAATAACGATGGAACGGGCGGAGAGAAGTTCCTCTGCCCAGGTGATCGGTGGAGTCCCCGAAGCCGGGATCCTCTCGCTCCCTCTGTGTCCGTCCACGCCGAGATCCCTCCGTGGCTCCGCCGGTTCCCTTCGGTGCCCGGAGAAAGGGCAGCAACCGGACCCGGTGCCCTCCCAGGCGTGGCCGGACCAGAGCCGTGTCCGGGCGGGCACGGTGCCTCCCGCCGCCACGTCCCCTCCGGGACCGCCGGGGAAGCCCTGCCCCGTCATGAATTCGATGTCAAACACTCCACACGAAAACTTGCACGGGAATTTCCGGGGTCTTATGGACCGCCGGCGTCGCCGCTGCATGGGCCCACCCGAGATGTCCCCTCCTCGGACCGGACACCCCCGCGCTGCCCGGCAGCAGCCCCGCGGCGCTGTGCGGTACCGGTGCCGCAGCTCGGAGTCGGTCGCCGTCTCCCCAGTTGTTCCCGAGCTGCTCGGAAACGAAAAGGCGGCGTCTCGGGGGCCGGCTGAGCCCCCGGTCTCGGACAGCACCGTGAGCCGGCGGGGCCGGCGGTGCCAGGGGGTCCCGGGTCCTCGCCCTCCGTTGGCACAGCCCGGTACCGGTCCGTGGGGCGGCGAGGTGCCGATGCTGCTCCCGGCTCCATTCAGCTACCGGGGGAGAGAAGAGTTTTCCTGCGCGCCTCGGGCACGGAAGCGGACCGGGAGAAACCCGCAGCCGAACCGGGCGGCTGGGCTGACCGGGAATCCGGGGCTGGCCTCTCCGAGTGTGCAGGGGAGTGCCCACGCAAGCAGGGAACTCGCGTGGAAAGTGGCTGCGGGGCGTGCTCTGCCCTGCGCGGCGGTAACCGGGCTGCGGGACGCCTCTCCCGGGACAGCCCGGTCCGGATCGCTTCGGGTTAGGGCAAGTTTTGGGGTTCTGCGAGGGCCACCTGCTCTTCCCCCTCTGCGCTCTGCGGTCCCAGAGTGGGGGCCGTGCCCGGATCGCCCAGGAGATGGGGACACGCTGGGACGCGACCGTGGCACGAAGGGGTCTCTGAGGGACACCGGCATCCCCGGCCGCCCGGGGAACCGGGCCGGGTCGGGCTGGGGGCTGCGATGGATCCTGTCGTCCTCGTCACGAGTGGCCGCGGGACGGAGCAGCTTCTGAAGCGCGGCCGGCAGAGCACACGGGAGCGGCGGGGAGCTGCCCCGCTGCGATGCGGGGGGATCCGTGGTGCCGGCGGTCGGCTTGGAGCCAGGTCCGTTCTCCCGCCCCGTTCTCCCGGCTCAGCCGCGCTCGGACACGCGCGCTCCCCCCGCCGCCGCCACGCGCGGCCCCGAGAGGGGCTCCAGCCCCCCGGTTTCGTTGCAAAACTCGCTGCCGTGGTGTCCTCCGCACGGAGAGAACCGAGGGGGGAGCCGGGCACTCCGCTGCCCAGCAGCCCTCTGAGCCCCGAGGAGTTCATCGCACGAGTGTGGCTGGAGGAGCGTAGACCCCGCAGCCGAGAGGATGGTTTGGGGTCAAATGGGTGGGAACGGGGTTTGCCGCGGCAGCACACGCTCTCGCCGGTCCGGAGCTGTCCCCTTGTCGGCAGCGAGTCCCGGGATCCCAGAACCGGGCCCCGGGCCGGTGTGGGTGACGGGAGCCGCAGGGATGAGCGGTCCCACCCGGCCGAGAGCCCGTGGGGCGCCCAGGCAGCTCCTGCCGTTGACCCTGGCAGCGTGGAAGGCTGTCCGTGCCCCGGCTCAGCCCCTGCTCCCGGGGGCCCGGTTGTGCGGGAGGGGCCCCGCGGTGCCGCCGGCTCCGGGCGCGGAGCTCTCCGGTCACCGTTCGGCGGCGGTGGGAACTGCCCGGGTACCGTCCCGCCCGCCGCTGCCGCGTCCCGCACGGCCGGAGCAGCTCCGTCCCGCTCCTCCTTCCGTGCCGAGTCCCCCGCGAGCGGCCGCAGCCCCGGCCCCGCTCACCCACGCGCGGGGGCTTCGGGCGGTTCCCCCGCGGCGGCGGCGGCTCCGCGCCGCTTTCCCCGCTCCGTTCTCGTTTGCATCTCCCCTTCTGCCTGCCCCCCCCGCACCTCAGCCGGGCCGCGGCTCCGGCCCCGCGCGGGTTCCGCGTGGGTTCCGGCGGGAGGACGGAGCTGTTTGTCCGCCGGTGCCGCCGTGGGAGGCGGCCGGAACATCAGCCTCGGTTTCTCCCCTCCGCGCCCCCACGCGTGGCCGCGGGGCTCCTCCGCGGGCGGCGGGGCAAAGGCAGCCGCTCTGTCGGGAGCTGCGCGGCCCCTCCGGGCTCGCGTGTGGCGCCGGTACCGGGCGGCACGGCCTCGGATCCGCGGTTCCAACGCGCACCGAGGACACCGACGGCCGAGGTGCCGGGCAGACACCGACTTGCTCGGGGCTGCGGCAGCCCCACGGCCACGGAAACGGGCGCTGTAGTGCCGGGGGGACGCCATCGGCTTCCGACCCTCAGCCTCGCTTCCCCCGCCGGGCCGTGCCCCCGGTGCCGCCGGCTCTGTCCTCTACCAAGCACCTTCCCAGGAACGGGGTCCAGCGAGCCGCGCCCACGCCGATTCACGAGTCGGCCCGCGACCAGCCTTAATTAACAACGATTAATTCGACACAAACGAAAAACTTCCCGGGACGCAGCTCGCCGGGGGCCGGGAGACCGCTGAGGTTGCGCTGCCCCCCGGCCCGGCCACGCCGCGCAGAACTCGCGTGTCCCGAAGGCTCCCGTGGCCGCGGGGTTTCGGGCGTGCTGTGGGAGTACACGGGAGCCGCGGAGCGGGAATGTTCCGCCTCCTCCCGGTTTCACTTCGGCCGGGGGCGGCGGGAGGAGGGATCTGCCCACGGAGAGCCGACACACGAGCCCCGCGTCCCGCGTGGGGCCGTGCGGGTCGCGCTGTCGGCGCTCCCCGCGGGGTCCCGAAGCCCCGCTCGTGTCCGCCGCTGGAGGTCCGTGCCCGCCCGGCTGGCACGGCGGCGGGCAGGATCCCGGGACACAACGCTGCTCGGGGCGGGAGCAACGCCGCTGCCCTCCGGTCCCCGCGCCCACGGGCGGCTTCCCCAGCCGGGGAAGGGTCTCGCAGCCCCAGCCCCAGGCCGGCGCGGCTCTGGGGGTGCCCTCTCGTTCACCGGAGGGCAGGCGCAGCCGCATCCCCGCGGCCGTTCCCGCAGTGGATTTCCCACCCGTGAGCGTGGCGGCCGCCGAGACGCGCTGCTCATCGGCTTCGAGCTCCTCAGCGGAGGGGAGACAGGAGGGAAAGACCCACGGGAGGCTTCGTCTGGTCTCATCCGTCCTGAACGGCGCCACAGGAGCCCACGCATGTCCCATCCGCGGGGCACCTCCCAGCGGCGGCGCTGCCCACGGACACGGAAACGGCTCCACTCCGCGGGATCGGGCTGAAGGGCTGCCCGGTCCTCCCGGTGCCTCACCGACAGCGCGGGGGGCAGGTTCGGTCCCTGCCCACTTGCGAGAACCGGGCGCGTGGGACCTCCTGTCTGCCGGAGTCTGCTCCCGCGACTCGCGCGTGTCTCGTTCTTCCGTGGCCGCCTCGGGGAGAAGGTGCTGTCTCCCGATGCCGTGCCGGGGGCGAGAGGCAGAGCCGGAGCGGGGAGCCGGTGGGGGGACCGGTTGGCAGCCTCCCGGTACCGGCTGACAACCTCCCCGATACCGGCCGGCAGCCTCGCGGCGCAGCCCCGTTCCTCCGCCCGTTTGCTGACAGATAACGGGGGAGATGGATCAAATCCCGCGTGGGGCTTCCCCGCTGGCCCCGGGTCACCTCTCCGCCCCCCCGGGACCGCAGCCGGGGGCTGCCGGCACAACGAAACCGGCGGCCGCGGTGCCCCATTCTGCCGGTCGTGTCCGCTTCGCCGGGAAGGATTCGCGTTCCCGCAACGGCGGCGGCGCCGAGCGGCACGCGGGACCGCGCCTGCCCGTGGACGGACCCGCTACCGGGACGAGCGGCTCGCGCGGGATCGCTCCCACCCCTGACACCGCTCTCTTTGTCCGGCCGCCGGTAGGCGGGCCGGGCCCGTTACGCGGCGGAACCCCCCGTTCCGCACCGTCCTGGCGCCGCCGAGCCCCCCGTCCCGTTCCCGGTGCCGCGGAGCCCCGTGGCGCCCGTTCCCCGTTCCGCGCGCCCCCTTTGTGCCCCGCGCCCCTCCCGCGCTCCCGGGGCCGTCCCCCCGAGCGGGGCGTGTCCCGGTGTGCGTGGGCGTGTCCCGGCGGGCGTGGCGGTGGGCGTGCCCTCGGGCCCCGCCCCGGCCCATCGGGACGCGGCGCACGTCGCGGGGCGGGGCGCGGCCGGGCCAATGCGGCGCGGGCGGAATATTCCACCGCGCGGGGGGGGCGCGGTGACGTCAGCGGGCGGAGTATTATGGTCTGGGCTGCGCCGGGGCCGCCCCTGCGCTGCGAGCGGCCGCGTAAACATGGAGCTCTCGGCCGTCGGGGAGCGCGTCTTCGCGGCCGAGGCCCTGCTCAAGCGCCGCATCCGCAAAGTAGGTGCCCCCCCGGCGGGCCCCCGCCGCGCCCCCGCCGCCCCGCGCCCCGCGCCCCGGCCCGCTGGGGGCGGCTCTGCCTCCCCCCGCCGCGGGGCGGGCTCCGCTCCGCCGCTCCCGCCCTCCCTCCCTCCGCGCCTTTGGGGGGGGCGGCGTTAAACCCGCGCCCGGGGGGGTGCGTGTGTGTGAGTGCGTGTGTGTGCATATGTGTGTGTGTGTGCATATGTGTGTGTGTGTGCATGCATGTGTGTGTGTGTGTGTGTGAAATCCGCGTTATTTTTCATTGTTGCATCTCCCCCCCACACCCCGCGCCGCGCTCCGCTCCCTGCCCGGGGCGGTGCGGGGGGACCTTTGTTGCGGGGCGGTTTGTCGCGGGTTTGTCGCGGGTTTCGCTCCACGCATATTTATTTCCCTCGCTTCCCATCCGCAGGGCCGCATGGAATATCTGGTCAAATGGAAGGGCTGGTCGCAGAAGTAAGTGGCCCGTGGGGCCGCGGGGGGCTGCAGCAGGGGCTGGGGGGATGCTGGCTGCACCCCCTGCTCTCCCTTTGTGCCACAACCAGAACCTTTATGCCTCTGGTTTTTATTTTATTCGTCTTGCTCCCTCCTGGCTCCTTATTCTGTTCCCTCTCTCCGTCCCGCCTTGCCCCCAGGTACAGCACTTGGGAACCCGAGGAGAACATCCTGGATGCCCGGCTGCTCGCAGCCTTCGAGGAGAGGTACAAGGCCTTCACTAGCTGTAGCAGTTGCGCTTGTAAATATGTTGCTGTCTTGTAGCTATGCTGAATTGAAGCTTTGGTTCTTTTAACACCTCTAGGGAGCGAGAAATGGAGCTTTACGGGCCCAAAAAGCGAGGCCCCAAGCCCAAAACCTTCCTGCTAAAGGTAAGGAGGCCAGAGCCCGCGTGCCAGGGCTCCAGGCAGGGCAGGGGTCCCTTTCCAGCCCCCTCGGAGGATGCTCCCCTCAAAGGTGGCCTCTCGTAAGTCGCAATTACCCGGCCGGATGGCAGGATAATAAAGTCACCGGGTGATTTATCTTCTTTGCAGGCCCAGGCAAAAGCCAAAGCCAAAACCTACGAGTTCCGCAGCGACTCTTCCAGGGGCATCCGGGTGCCGTATCCCGGCAGGTCCCCCCAGGAGCTGGGCTCCACGTCCCGGGCTAGGGAAGGACTGAGAAACATAGCCCTGGCCCCCCAGGGCAGCTCCAGCAGCAGCACTCCCAAGGCGGACGGCGTCCGGGAGCGGGTGATCCGCGTGGAGGACAAGCCCGGGGAGACCCCCAAAAAGAGAGGCCCGAAGCCCAGGAAGGAGCTGTACAAGGACCTCGCGGAGACTCTGGACGCCTCCAAGAGGAAACTGGGGGAGCCGGGGGACAAGGTGGGGGACTACCTGAAGGCCAGGAAGATGGAGGAGGCGGCGGCGGCGGGGGCGGCCAAGTTCGGCTCGGGACACAGCGTGATCCAGCTGGCCCGGCGGCAGGAGCCCGAGCTGCCCGGCGCCCTGGCCGGGCCCCCCCGCGCCGAGCCGGGCCCCGAGGCCTTCTCCCCGCGCCTGGCCAAGCACCGCGCCGACTTTCTGGACGCCACGGGGCAGGGGGGGCTGGACCCCGGCGGGCCCAAGCTGCTGCACGGCGCCGCGGGCCCGGGCAACGGGGGCGGCCTGTACCGCGACGGCGTGGGGGGCCCGGCCGGGCGGCCCTCGCTCATCGCCAGGATCCCCGTGGCCAGGATCCTGGGGGACCCCGAGGAGGAGTCCTGGAGCCCCTCTCTCAACAACCTGGAGAAGGTGGTGGTAACTGACGTGACCTCTAACTTTTTGACCGTCACCATCAAGGAGAGCAGCACGGACCAAGGATTCTTTAAGGAGAAGCGATGAGTTTGGTGGAGGTGGTGCTGGGGTTTTCTTCAGTCGGATCCAGACAAAAGCTTGGTAGAGCTTGGTGGGCCTCTCTTTTTTTTTTTTTTTTTTTATGCTCCTTTTTTTTTTTTTCCTTTTAAATTTTTTTTTTCTTTTGTTTTTGGTCCTGGAGAGAATTTAGAAACTGTCCTAAATTCATTAACTCATTCTTTTGTTTTGTTTTTTTTTCACGTCTTACATTTCGTTGGAAAGATTATCTCTAGAGTTATATTTTCTATTAGATGTAAATATGTTATTTAAGAAAAAATGCTTATATATATATATCTATATATATATATTTCAACTCTGAGTTGTTTTATTTAAATGGAGACAACAGTGACTGCTCAGTTGCTCCTAGAAAGGACAATAAAACTGAGAACTAACGAGTTCACGCATCTGCCGCAGGAGCCGGTGTACATAACAGTGTTCATAGCTAAGTATGTGCTGGGTTTTTTTAACTATTATTTTTCATATGATGCTATGGATGGTGGAGGGGGACGTGTTGCTCCCTCGCAGGGCCGAGCGCCCGGATTTCTTGATTGTGATTTAAGGTGTTGCTTGTACAATCAAGTGTGCTGTGTCCAGGACTGTTGCCCTTGACAGTTGACGTGAGCACTTGAATTCACAGTGTTGTTGGGGATGGGGTGTTTCCAGTCTAACAAAAAAAGTCATGTTGCTACAAAGTCGGGGCGGGGAAAAGCAGAAATCCATAAAAAGGCTAAAAGTGTTGGAGTATTAACTTGAATTCCCTTTTCTTGCGGAGGAGAGGAGTTTGTGTGTGTAAGGTTCCTGAGGGGTGATACTGAAATGCACTTTAATAGAGTTGTCGTAGCAGCTGTGGGAGATGGGACTGAGCTGAGTATATCTGTTTTCATTTTGTCTGGTCGCTTGATTCTGTTCCCCCACCCACTGAAAACAAAAAACCCCAACAAAACCCCCCTCTGTTTACATTCCTGAAATGCCAGAGAGGTTGGGGAGGGAACATCTCACTGCCCATATTTAGTTACTTTATTCTGCTACAGAAAGTGGATTATTATAATTATTATTTTTATTCCCAATCACAGTTTACTTCAGACTGTTGGAAGACTCCTGATAAATTGTTTTGTAATATCCACATCCCTGACGAATCCCAGGTTCACCTTTGTGCATTCAGAGACAATAAATACGTCCCTTTCCTTGCGGTGGTTAAACAATAGCCAAGAGGCGAAATATTCCTGTGCGGGGCAGCCCCGCTGCCTCGGGTGGATTTGGTGCTGGATTTGCTTGTGGGATTCCCCCAGGGCAGGGATCCAGAGCTGGGATCCACACTGGGATCCCTCCTAGGGCTGGGATCCGGAGCTGGAATCCGTCCCAGGGCTGGGATCCAGAGCTGGGATCCCTCCTAGGGCTGGGATCCGGAGCTGCGATCCGTCCCAGGGCTGGGATCCGGAGCTGGGATCCCTCCCAGAGCTGGGATCCCTCCCTGGCTGGGATTTGGAGCTGGGATTTGGAGCTGGGATCCCTCCCTGGCTGGGGTAGGGAGGCTCTGGGGGCTCTGGATGAGCTGCAGCAGTTTGGCCGCTGTTTAGGGGGCTGGGGGTGTCCCTGCTCTGCTGCTCCCCCAGCTCGGCCACCCTGGCACGGGGAGGGCGCCTGGCCTGGCTGAGGCGGGGCAGGTGGCCCTGTGCTGCTCACACCTTGCTCTGGCTGTCAGTGGGGTGGGAAGCACGAGCCCGGCAGTGCCTGAGGGCTGGGACTGAGCCGGGGCCCCTCATCCCTGAGCTCCTGAAGGCCCAGGGAGCTCCCACGGGCTGAGGGAAGGGCTGGGCAAGGGCCATCTCTGCCGCAGGGCCCTTCGGCAGCTTCGCCTTGCCCGGTTCCCTTCCCCATCCTTTTGGGAGCCGTGAGGTGCCTGGCAGGATGCTGGATTGGCTGTGCAAAGGGAGCCATCGTGTCTGACAGTTCCCAGTTTGGTTTTCCTTTCTTCTTTTTCATTTTTATTTTATTTTATTTTTTTTTTTAAGACATATTTTGTAAAATTGAGGTTTTTAACTTGGTTCGCGCGAAGAGCCGATGCGTTGGTTCCGGTGCTGGCGCGGTGCTGTTGGAGGATGAGGGAGGAGGGGGTTGAGCCGATTGTGCTCCCGCTGCCGCCGGGGCCGGAGCATCGTTCCCTTTGCAGAGAGCCCGGAGCCGCCGCCGCCCCGCCGGGAGCTCCAGCGCCGCGTCCGTGTGTCCGGCACACCTGGAGCGAGCCGTACCTGTGCGTGTATCCGTGTGTCTGTACATAGCCGTGTACCCTGCGTGTGTGTGTGTGCGGGCGCGTGCGTGTGAATTATTTAAATCTAAGACTTGTACAAAAAAAACCCGATTTGGCTAAATCTCAGTCTCAGAAGTGAAGCTTAACTACGTGTCTTCTGCCAGCCGTGAATGTCCATATGAGACCTGCTTTTTATGTCGGTTTAAATATATACTTTGTAAATAGAAACGCGTCTGGCTTCCCTTTGTGGCGCTGGGGGTACCGCGGGGGTCCCGGCGGGGTGGGGGCCCCGCAGCCCGGGACCGGACGGGGCTGGGGGCGGCGGAGGCTCCGCGGCTGTCGCCGGTCTGGGCGCCCCCCGGGGGTCCCGCGGTGCCCGGAGGGGGCGGTGGCGGCCGCTGCGAACGGCTCCGGTGCGAGAGACGGCGCAGGAACGGCCGCTCGGTGCCGCCCGGTCCCGGCGCCGGCCCGGTCCAGGCGCTCCGCCCTTCCGACGGCTCGGGCGGCGGCGGCCCCTGCCCGTCGGGCCCGGCCTTTGTGCGAGCGCGGCCCGGGCGGGGGCGGGGGGCTTCGTGGCTTTTTGAAGCCGTGTCCTCATTAACCTCCTTTTTCTGCTCGGGCGGGTGGGGCGCGGACCCCGCGCCGCGGGAGCTGCCAGCGCCGGCAGCAGCGGGAGGAAGGGCCGCACAATGGCGCCTTTCTCCGCCGGCCGCCGGGGGGGCCCGTTCACACGGGCCGGGGGCCGCGCCTGGGGCCGGCCCGGGGGCTCCCGCCCGACGGCGGCACCGACGGCAGCGCCCGGGGCCGCCCGCGCCCTTCCGCGGCCGCGCAGCGCCCTCCGCAGGCCGGCCCGGCCCCGGTCCCTGTCCCGGTCCTGCCCTGGTCCCTGTCCTGCCCTGGTCCCTGCCCCTGTCCCGGTCCCGGTCCTGGTCCTACCCCGGCCCCGGTGCCTGTCCCTGTCCCGGTCCTGCCCTGGTCCCTGTCCCGGTCCCGCAGGTGCGGGCGCTCACCTGAGCTCCGCTCACGGGGCTCTCTGGGCAGCTCCAGGCGCAGCGGAGCCCGGGCCGGGAGGGGCTGGGGCCGGCACGGAGCCCGCAGGAAACGCGGTGCCGTTCCCCCGGTGCCGTTCCCCCGGTGCCGTTTCCCCACTCCGGTTCCTCGCTCCGTCCCAGCCTCGCACATGCCCAGCCCGGGCCGGGCACACGGAGCCCCGGAGAGGGACCGGCCCTGGGCGGTGCCGGGGTACGGAGGGGAACGGGAGCACTCCCAGAGCAGTGACCAGACGAGGCTGAAAAGTTTAAAAAAATATTTATTGATATGCTAGAAAAGAAGTGTGGAAAAGTCATAGAAAACCCCCCACCCGACGTAACCATCTCCTAGTGTTTTCCTGCAAATAAATTAAAAGCAGCCTAGAGCGGGGGGCTACGCTAGCGTTAGTGTCCAGGAACACTGGAAAACTGCTCAGAGAACGTGGGTGAGGGGCTGGGAGGGACCGGGGTGCTGCGTGGGGAGCTGCTCCTGCTCCCACAGCACTCATGCTTTCCCAGGGCAACAACATCCCCGACTTTTGTTCTCAGAAAATAAAAGCAAACAGCTGCAGTTTAAAGCAATTAAAAGTGTCATACAGGAGCGATTTGGCTCTCTCTTTAATTAAAACGTACAAATCAGAGCACTGACTGGCACAAGTTACAAGAACAGTTGTTTGTTTTCACCTATCTCAAATTTCTGTCAGTAAAACCTTTCTCCTGGCTCTGGAGCCCATCACACACAGCTCAGAAACTCGACACAAACCAAACCCCCAAACTATCTCCATCCCTCCGTGTACTCCTGGGATTTTTTTTTGGTACAAAATATATATATAAAAATAGACTCAGTTTCTCGGGATGATGGCTGAATCGGCCACCTCTTCCAGTCCAATGGAAAACAACAAGGATGCTTAACCAGATTACGCCTGGGGAAAATATCCTTTCACTATACAAATACCGCAGGATTTCCACATCGGAAACCCCTTAGAAAATGACAAGTGACAAACCTTTAATTGCTTGTCTGACACCTGGCTGAACATGCCAACCCATAGCAGCAAACTCAAAAAAAAAAAGGAATAAGAAAAGGTAGAACTTGAATCCTGATGGCACATAACCAGGGTCTGCACCGACCAGGGGTCTTCCAACCCCTGTCCACAAAGATTCCAGTAAATTCATCACAGGACGAGTCTTTGGGAAGCAAACCCCAGTGGGAACCGCGCACTCAGCCCCCGCAGCTGCTGGGAGAGCCAAGATCCCAGAACAGCCAGTGAGAAAGGGGCTGGGGAAGAAACGTAAAATCCTGGATTATCATTTCCACCATCGTCAGACCTTTGGAATCGAACCAGCTGCTGAGCAAAAGGCACAATAGCAAGCGGTGACAGCAGAGCCCTGTGCTGCCAGAGGGGACGTGGTGGGTGATGGAGGGGCCGCCTGCCGTGGGGACACGCGTCCCTGTGCCAGGCAGGAGCCAGGCCCTGCAGGGACAAACTGAGAGCTGGGACAGGGCTCTGGAGGGAGCAGCCAGCCCAGAGCTGCTGTGCAGGGCAGCCAGCACCTCCCCTGCTGCCACAGCCCAGCTCCTGCCCTGCCCTTGGGGCCTGGCCCCTCCTTGGAGCATCTTCAGGCGATTTTCTCCCCTTGGAGAAACCAACCCGCACATCCCCTTGCTGCAGGCAGGAGCATCCCTGCCGGGCCAGCTTCCCCTCTGGGGCACTGCTCACAGGGCTCCGCACAGCTGGCGTCCCACTGGGGACCAGGACACCTGTCCCCACGGTGTCACCGTGTCCCCAAGACCCTGCGACCACCCTGCTCTGCATAGGCACAAACCTGTGGTGGGACCGGTGCCACAGCCAAGGCTGAGATAAGGACGGTCCAAAGGCACATTGTTATCAGTTTGGATTCACAAACGCCAGGCAGCAAACGTTTGGTGTGCGGCTGAGAGCGTCACCCCGTGCTCCCAGAGCCCTTGGTTCTTGTCCCAAAGCACTGGCACCCCTGGCACAGCACACACCCTGCCCGGGGCGCTGCCGGCCGCCGGCACAGGCCAGTGCTGCCCTGGGGCTCGTTTGGCAAGGTTACAGCACAAGGTGAACCGCACAGATTGTGACATTTTGGCATCACCCGAGAATGACCCCGTGACCATGGGGGGCTGCTGCCTCAGGGGGTCACAAACACACCTGCACCCCCAGTTTGGTGCATGCACCCACACCCCTGTGAGTGTCCCTGCCTGGGGCAAAGGGAAATCCCTGCCCTGGTGCCACCTCAGCCACCTGGGGACTCCCAAAGCAGTGACCTGCTGCTCAGGGGAGGGACATCAGAACCGTGCAGGGAGGGGGCAGCTCCAGCTGTTCATTGCCTCTGAGAAAAGGACTCGGCATCAACAGAACGAAAATGACCTCGAATGCTACTAAACTGTGCCTGAACTGCTGCTAATTTTGGCTTCTAGGAGAAATCTGCAGCAGGGGAAACACTGCAGTGAAAAGCCATCACTGGGTGCCATTACAAGCCCAAAGGAGCACCCCAGCTGTGGGACGGCCAGGGAAGGTGAATGGTGCTCAGGTGAGCAGCAGCCTGAGGTACCCACTGGCCTCAGCCCTTCTCCCTCTCCTGTCCCTTCCCACCACTCCACACCATTATGCAGGTGGCTTTGAGCAGCTTCTGAGCATTCTGGGGAAAACCATGGACGATCAGGGTGAGTCTAACCCAGGGAGCAGCAGTCCTGGGTGTCCTGGCAGCCCCAGCACCAACCCACCTGCTGCTGGAAGGGTTCACACGTTCTGCAAGGCTTAAAAACATTCCCCAGCTCAGTCCCTGTGAGCGCCTGGAAGCTGCTGAGCAGGAGCCGGAGATGCTGGCACTGCCAGGACGAGGCACAGGAGGGGTGTAGGGGCTCCCTGGGCTGCCCAGAAATTCACGTTCTTCTGGAAGCCAAGTCACTGCAGAGAAGCTGGTGGATCCTGCTGGCTCTCAAGGCAGGACTTTCCTCCAGCAGAAAGGAAACACCCTCCAAAAAAAGCACCTCTGCCACCTGTTCTGTTAGTGGCATCCAGGACTTCACCTACCTTAGACTCGGGTTATTTCCCCC